TATATTTACAAATGATAAAGGTGTTGGCTCAACCGATATCAAGTTCATCGACGGAAATAATTTGAAGTACATATTCTTATATCCATAATGTTAAGAGAAACAAGCTGAATTTTGCATGAGCTAGTCAATTGGTTTATATCCATTCCAATATCCGTCTCCAATTACGTTTCAGTGAAAGCCACAAAGATGGGTCTTTCGAGAAATGAGATATTGATCTAGAATCCTTTTTTAGTCTCTTTATTTGTTGGTACATTTTTCAGAGTCCTATAGATTATCCTGCCATCAATTTTATTTTTTTAATTTAAATAATTATTTTTATGCAAAGATATTTGACTTTAATCTAATCTAAATTGTCGGGAGGGATTTCAAACTTGAGTCTCCTCTAACCAACTTGGGTTATCTCCTGTCTGCTTCAAATTTAAAAAGTCTTTTGGACTAAGTGTGTGTCCTTGGAAGAGTTATTTTAGACGAAAATCACTTGGTTTTGTTCACTAAACTTATCTCTTTATCTCTAACATATTAGATAATAGCCTTCATTTATTAGAAGAGGTCAAAATTTTATTGCAAAAACTAGGCAATTCCTCTAATAAAACATCAGATGTGGTGGAGTTCCAAAAATAATACCCTTTATTTTGATGACCTAAGATGTGGTGGAGTTCCAAAGTCTGTCTAAAATAAGGTAGTGGCATTTGTATGTAGACAAGCTTGGTCTTAGTGACGACCCAAAATTAATTCCTTTTCAAATCCTATGAATCGTGGACCTAATTGGTCATGAGCATTAATGGCACAGTGTTAGACTTGTATTATGTCTATTTTGAGCATGAAAACATATTGATTAATAAGTTTGACTAATTTTTCTTCAATTTTCTCGTGAGATATGATGTTAGCCAAAATGTTCCCACCACAAATTGAACGTCAGCCAATATGACATATAAGGAGACAATTAATTAAGAAGAAATAATATGGTACTTGACACGTTGTAAAAGTATCTTGTATATTCTTGCCAAAAAAAAAGTATCTTATACACAGCGACGGAGCTAGTAGTTTGTCTTTGGGGGCCAGTAGCCTTATATTTTAACTGATATTGCAGCAGGTGTTTAAGAGTTATTGGCTTTTTCATGGAGCTTGGGGGGCCATGGCCACTGTAGGCCTGTATGTGGCTACGCTCCTGCTTAAACATATTTTATCATTCCGAAAAAAGCACTTTTTCACATATTTTAACTTATCTTCGAATACCCTATATTTTTCTTTGAATACTCCTTAATCGGGATAGTCTTCTCAAAACAACCATCATCCCAAAACTGCAAGAAACTGTCAAAATCACCCCAAATAATTTATAAAAAAACTAATTAAAATTGTTAAGAGTTTACAATTTTAACAAGGATGCAACAAAACATTTTGGCTGTAAAATCATTACATGCCCCGAATGTTGTATTACAACAATGTTATATGCTCAAACAAAAAACTGTGGCTACGTATGACCTCGTACGAACACATAAAAATACCACATTTATTACCTTGAAGTGGAACTCTTTCTTAGGGCACACATATGTATGCATGTAACTTAATTAATCAGTTTAAGACATACGTGTCAAAATTTCATCAAGGCCAATTATGACATTCGGGTGCTGCATTATATCATGAGTCTCTTTCTTTCTTGGTACATCTATCAAAGCCCTAGAGATTATCCCGCCATCATTCTTTTTTTTTTTCTTTTTTGCCCAAGTTAGAGCATCCATAATGGGCTCCTTGAACCACCTCCTTAGTTAAAATTTGAGGAGGAATTGAAAAAACCCACCTCCAATCATGCTCCCTATTTAGCTTCTAAAATAAGGAGATCTCTAGGAGCTCCTAAATCTGAGGAGAGAGAAAGAGCTCCTAATGACTTCCTATAATTAAATGCTACCATATTTTATTATTATTTTAAACATTTATTTAATAATATCTTTAATTTTATCATCTTTTTTCTGCATTTTATATTTTTAATCACCTTTCTACATGCACCATCTTTTCTATTCTTTGCCGTAGCTGTAGGTGCTTTGCAAACAAATATTTTTTTGATGACATTTCTATTACGTGGAACTATAGTGCAACAAATATTCTTTTTGCCGTAGCTGTAGGTGCTTTGCGAAACACAACAATCATAGAATATCAAAATTGAATAACAAATAAACTTACAATTAATTCCTTTCAAATTACATAGTAATAATATAAATTAAAAATACTAGTTTCCCAGTCTCCCGCATGCAGCTGCCACAAGTGTTCAATAAGATCTAATTGCAGTTGGGAATGAAGTCAAGCAACTCAGGTGTACGATCATGTGACACTGATATAAGCGAAATCCATCCACTCTATCATAGTTATAGTCAAAATCTCCAGAATTTCGCTCATCCTCAATTATCATGTTATGCATTATTATGCATGCAGTCATAATATCATTAAGCGTATCTTGATCCCAAATTCGTGCCGGTCCACGCACAATCGCAAAACGTGCTTGGAGAACACCAAAAGCTCGCTCTACATCCTTCCTTGCAGCCTCTTGACTTGTAGCAAATAGCTTTTTCTTATTTCCTTGTGGTGATGGAATTGTTTTAACAAATGTTGACCATGGTGGATAAATACCATCGTATAATTGTGACCATTAACAGAATAATTGACTGGTGGAGCACGTCCTTCCACAAGTTCACCAAATACAGTAGATCGTTCCAACACATTGATATCGTTATGAGATCCCGGTAATCCAAAGAATGCATGCCATATCCACAAATCATATGATGCCACAGCTTCTAAAATAATTGTTGGTTCATGAACGTTACCAGAATACATACCATGTCACTTAGTAGGGCAATTCTTCCATTTCCAATGCATGCAGTCAATGCTTCCTAATATCCCAGGAAATCCACGTTGTTCACCGATCATAAGCAATCTTTTTATGTCATTGCTATTTGGTGACCTTAAGTACTCTTCACCAAATATTGCAATAATTGCCTTAACAAACTTTTTAATGCTTTCTATTGCAGTGCTTTCTCAAACCAAGGTAAAACCTATTAAAACACAAAAAAGAAGTAAAAAGCTATAAAATGTCAAGAACTAACTCAAAATAGTGGGTGAATAACATGAAAAAGCATGTGTAAAAATGAACCGAACAGTGACCTTAAGTACTCTTCACCAAATATTGCAATAATTGCCTTAACAAACTTTTTAATGCTTTCTATTGCAGTGCTTTCTTCGATTCGTACATACTCATCTGCATAATCTGCCGCTACTCTATAAGCAAGCATTCTCAACGCAGCTGTCGTCTTTTGAAGTGAGGACAAACCCATAATTCTACAATAATCCCTCTTTTGAACAAAATATGGGTCATATGCTTCCACTGCACTTTTGATTTTTAAAAACAAAGGGTGATTCATTTGAAACCTCCTTCGAAATTTATATAGCGGATACACAGGCCTTTCAGCAAAATAATCACGATAAATTCTTTGATGACCGCCATTTCTATTACGTGGAACTATAGTGCGAACTCGTGATGTCAATTGGCTAGCCAATTGCTCTTCTTCTACGGCCACTGCAACAAATATTAGTATATCATCATCAAAATTGAATGCATTTTACCGTTAGAATTAAAATTGGATACATATTACTGTCAAGGATTAAAATATCGGCTGTGCAGATAATATCGGGCCTCCAATTTACGGATATTTCGGGGGATATATTGTTATCGTTTTAGGTATCGGGAAAAAATCAACAAAAATGATAGATATAGGCATTGAAACACATAATTTTGGTGTAGAACTTTCATAGATGTTATTTACATTATCAATGAATGTATTGAACAAATAAAACTCAAAATTTACTAATAATAAGATATACATATGATGAAATATAAGTGGTATGTAATGCGCGTTAATGAAAAGTTTGAAAATAAAATGTTGATTAGAATGAATAAACCATGAATAAATCCATAGTTTGTCTAAACATTGGATTACAATTTAGATAAGTGTCCATCTACATAAATGAAGAGCTCCTATGAGGTTGAAACAATGAGGAACAACTTTGTAAGCCATGTTTGAACATGGTGCACATACGTCTCTCTTGAGCTCCCTAATATCCTCCCATATATGGGATAGTTAGGATTAATTAAACTAGTAGGCTCATAATCTGTTTCATCATCTTGAGCTCCACAACTAATTCCACTATAATCAGACATGACATAACCATAGCCATCATAAGATTCGTTTGAGTTTGTACTAGGTCTAGTTCCTATGCCCACAGATCCAAAACTGATCGCCACGTCCTCTTCAGATGGATTGGAGGTATGTGGGCAGTGGACTATGCATAGATTC